TGTCACGAGTGTGATTTTCTTACGAAATCACTTTTGATCACTTGTACATCGACCCGGAGGTCACGCATATTGCTCCTTCTCCTCCTCCTCGTCCTCATCTTCCACCACCACCACCAACAACAACAACATCGACAGCAACAACAACAAAACCAGCAATATTAATGTCAGAACAGCATCTATTGGTCCGCAAAAGTAAATTATTGGGGTTTGTGAATGCACCTTGTTAGTTTCATTTTTCCCATATCCACAACCGTTGCCAGTGACTCTGCAAAATTAAGTGAATTTTATGTTCTAAATGTTTATAAATCAACATCACAATTAATCATCAGTTACTGAATGGTTCTTCCGGTTTGCACGAGGAGATTAATGGGTCATTCAAGTCACATGACACCAGTATGACTAAAATAAACAGTTCATCCTTTTACGAACAGCATATGTGTGTTAATGTATGATTTATTTAATGACCACAAACAAAAACAGATTTATTATTCCTATCGGTCAATATTAATTAATTGATTATCTGTCCCCATTTGCAGTGATACTGTTAAGGCACATTTCTAAGAGAGAATACAACTGCTGATAAAAATGGATGCAGTCAGTTCATCTTTGGTATCGAATTTACGGATCACCTTTCAGCTACTCTGTACCACGATCATGGAAAAGACAACCAAACACAGCAGCACAATGAAAGCGATTCGGGCATCCAACAAGTGGGGAACGAGGTTCCATTAGGAGTGCGTGTTTGTGAAACAGTTCATCATGTTGTCTGCTACATTCTTTCATGTTGACTGAGAAAAATGAGTGCGTGTATGAATGATTGGGCAAGCTTACAATTAGTACAAATCTCTTACCCAAGTATATTTTAGTTTATTCATTTGCAGTAGTCCTAGTTACCAATCACGATGTGTGAAAAAAGAAATAGTAAATTAGATGAATTCCTCACCCCCCCCCCCNCAAATAATAAAGTTATCATGTCATTGACCAGAAGGGTTTACAGTTGAATCGGTCTTGAATAATTACCTGATCGACTCAAGGCTGCTGCACGAAAGGTGAACAAACTTATTATTTGTTTGCAGTTCAATGTTTACTTCAAACTTAAGTCATCCGTGAAATTCTTCTAGAAGCACCTGACTTAATTTTCATTCTTTTTCTTGCTCATCAAGGGTGCATATCCATCGTCCGGCCCGGAATTTAAACTTTGGACCCACTTTGATGAAATTCCGTGCTCTACCATTGTGCAAACTAGCTGACACCTGGGATCACTAGAGATAACAAGTTTCGTCTTCAAAGATGGTAAGTTCTTTTTGACCCAACGGCAACGAAGAAAAACAAATGACTGTTTGTGAAATCCATCCGGAAACCTCACACGAAACCATATATTCTATTTTGTTTGGGCTGACTTGAAACAATTAAATCCACTAGGACGGATTTAAAGTTAAAGTTAACTTCAAAACCACCTGAATTCTTTATTTTGGTCACCGCAGGTGTCGGCCGGTTGGCAAAGCGGTAACACGCATGCCTTCGAACTAAAGTGATCTCCGGACTTTAGGCCTCTAATGAACCGACCTCAAACAAAAGTGAGACTATAATTTAGTGCTTCTGAAGTGTATGATTTACTGGATGAACTGAGGACTATGTGTGAAGGTGAAATATTAGGGTTGGCCAATCCAGTTTAATAGTATGCAACTTTCTAGCCAAACAGAACTCACCTGTTGTAATTGGCCAACCGGAATAGACACTGCTTGTTGTCCAAGAGGAGAAACGGGGTATTCGATTCCGGGTTGGTTTTCTTTCCAAACAAGGCAAATCATGTTTGAACGGTAAAGAGCTGGGAAGTGTAAGGCTTCGGGATGTCTTGGGGGCATATGTAATGGCTTGGGTGGGTTTAGGTTTCTTCGACTCGGATAGCTCGTCCATTTTATCCTGTCAATGTAAGATCACAATCAATGGATCTAGGTGAATACAGAAATCATGCTGTTTTCTCGGTTTCCTTTAACCATACATTATGAACTGACGCATAAGTACCGTAAAATTGAATATAAACAGAAAGACTCCTGTTCGGATGTAAGGAAGTGAATCCATTTATGATAGGAATTGTGTGATTTCCAGTTTTTGAGGGTTGGTGTAAAAGTATTAGCAGATGGTGACCTTTGAGCGGTTCAAATCCCTGTGATCGATCAGCAACATGAATGAGTTCTGGGATCTGACTTCAAGTTTTTCGTAGTGGGGGCAGTCTCGTTGCTGCCGGAGTAGTATATCACCTCCTATATTGGGACCTCATAAGGTTTACTAAGTCAGGTTCTGGTGTTATTGCTTTACATAACTGAACAGCAGGTACATTTTAGGAGGATATCCAACTTTTCTAGTGGTCATTGTGCACAGATATTTTCTTTTTAGCTCATCAACATGCTTGATCCAAGGGTTTTTCAACTTAATTAGCTTGATACTTGCATTGTCCCATTTTACGAATCATTCGGTAGACTTGCGATTCCAGTGGATCGAGGAAATGTTTTGACTGCTAGCACAGAATGTAAGTTTTTCTTCAATTTTGATGTGGACACTAAACAACTTATTTTGTTAGTATTTCTTTTATAAAGTTAGAATAATTAATATTGAACTGGGCAACATTATAAAATTTTCAACTCTATTTTTCATCTATTATTAGTTTGCGTATATTTGAAAAAAAACGTTGCAGTAAAATGTGGGTTACTAAAAGTAAATTATTAAATTGATACGTATAAAATGTTCTGTGGAATGAACGCGTAATTTTAAAATCCCTTCCGAAGCATAGATTATTAAGACTGTTTTGGTTTTGTTCACTGCTTGATTTTAATTTATTTTTATCAGGACTATGTTTATTATATAAAGAAGGTATATCGTAAATATTCAGCCATCTGATGGACCGCTAGATAGAAAGCTTGTGAATAAAATTTGAACTCCGATGGATGTACACGCCTGATGATATCCACCGAATCGCATAGTGCATTTCATTCGCTACCTCTGTTGTAAATGCTTTTAATATGGGCACAGTTGCTGTTTCAACTACAATGTAAGGGTTTCTCGATTAATCGCTTACTTCATGTTTAAACGAGTAGTTCTTCATAAAAGAATGTCGTCAACCCAGCCAAATTTACTTGTTAGTTACTGATAAGCCAACATTTTGTTGATCGGAAAAAAGAGATACGGATCGGTCACAAAGAGCTAATAATGACCGAGTCCTCAAACTAGCCCAGCGATTGCAATCAATTGGCGAAATTGCCAACAGCGGTACATTAGACTTACGCTGACATACTCCACACCCCAAAATATACTGTGCTTGATTTTTTCATTTGATTTTCCAATATTTCATCAACAATTGTTCGGTGTATAACGGAAAAAAGGTAGTTATATGAAAAAGTCCTTTACAACTTGATAAAACCTTATCTTTCCTGATTCTCGTAGACAATGAGTTTAAGGTATGATTAAATGGATCGAAGAAAACCCGTTTAGGCAGGTTGATCGGAATATGAACTTACAGCATTTCAGGAAGTACATCTTTGGTTATTCTTTCACCTCCCAGATTCCCTCTCTATATGTGACATTCCCTGCGTTCCAAAACAAAAAAATCTTGCGCACTAAGTTCCATCTCGGTAGAGCAAAGCTATACGCTACCGAGTGCGTCCCAAGGGCGTGGATAGGGGAACGGTCGTCATCTCGCGGCTAACCG